ATTTATTCAAAGACTGATAAAATGAACAAGGGTAGATACCATGTCTAACTGTAACGGATCATTGGGGGTGTTTATCGACTACCGAAACCGATTAAGGATAGCTTTTTCAGTTAATTTCAGGGTAGAAAAGGGATGGAAGTTGAGGCAATGAGACGAAAATGTTTGGGGAGGACAAATGATTTGGACGCTTAGGGATTAATATGACTGGCTCCCAACAGTTTGGGATAGTAGCAGTGTACAGTGATTCATTTGCAGTGAAAGTGAGTACCCTAGGGAAGCAGCACCAAATTCGTAGTGTTGGCCTGTAACACAGGAAGAATTACAACTACTTAAAATCTTTGGCACATCGCAATCCGAGGAGGATTCCACATTGCAAATATTTTGTAAGTAAATAGATGGGAAGAGTGCCCGACGACTGGTGCAGGAATGCCACATTGAGGTTATTAACATCAAAATTCAGCTTCGATCGTACTTTCTTCCTTCCACAGAGAAGTCTGATGCAGTGTCACATATTTTTATGGTTTCCATTCCTCATAATTTTATCGGAGAGTAATGCGTATAATCTATTTATTCGAGACCATGAACTATGCCCATTGATTACAATGTAGGCCAACAAGTGTCTTCCGCGAATTCCTTTTAAATCCTTTATAATCACATTTATATGAAACAACTTCAATAGTGGCAAACAGAAAAGTGGATGAGTCATGTGTTTGATAATGAGCCGGATAGAACTCCAAATTTATGTGCTGTTTGGATTACGCAACCAAAGCCGCTGTGTTTCATCGTCATTGGGGACGGTGAATGTTCTTCGTGATTTCGGGAATCACCCAGTTACAAAATAAGTTTAATTTGCCCCATGATTAGGCTCGCGACTGTGTTTACGGTGTCTCGACTTGCGCTAGAAGCGTCGACGTCCAGGAAGGAGGTTCTTCTTGAAGAGGGTTAACAGACAAACTGCAAAAGAGGAAAAACAGGCACCCTGAGCCAAAAGATCTTGTGAGACCTCAAAATGACGCACTCTAAAATGGAATGTTAACTTTTCAAGCGCGTTACAGAGGGACTGAGCCATTAGATACGAAAATCTATAATGTTCAGTTAATGCAATCGGCTGCCCAAACCCTGGGACTTACAGTGATAAACCATAAGAAATACCAATAAGGCTGGTGTTATATTGAGTAGAACAATAATGGAGCTATCTATCACTGAAGTTGAGTGTTGATAGAAGAGCTTGATTGTCTGACAGGTGTTTTCTTACTGTAAAGCTGAAAATTGTTATTCACCATTGTCTACGCATTATTATACTTATCAGAATCTCATTTATTTAAATTTAAATTAGGACAAAAAATTTGTCATTTGTTATATTTTTCCTTATACACTGTTCATGCATCGAAAATAACCTCATACAGCAAACCATTACATCGCATTTTCCAAAATCCTTTCACTATACAGTGATTCGAGTAATATATTGTAATCTGATGGGCAACGTTTTATGAATGTTGCACACTAGTGAATTCACTGTATTGGTGGATAGCTAATCCTACAGGAGCAACATATCCGCTTCTCCGAGTCCACCTCCCCTGCCATCAACCCAAGGATTTGGAGACAAATTATTGTTCCAGCTCCTTCCGCTGCAATACGGCATAAAACGAGGACCACGCTCGGATTTTTCCAAATGTGAACCGTTGAATGGACCAATGAGAAAGGGCGAGGCGCGTTCTTACAGTACGAGGTCACTCTCCCTCACCTCTATATATGATCAATGTTCCCTTCTCTTCGATCACTGCGTCTGGCACAATTAGAAGAGAATTGGTCACCCCTATTGCTTCCAGTAGGAACATATTGCTATGGTAAACACCAGCATCCCTATTTCCCCCTGTCATCCCAAACTTCTTCATCGTCGATTAGTCCTTTTCTATCGACGACTATTGTAAGGAGTAGAGGTAACATACAGATTGACGGTCCCGTTCTCCCTTTCCTTCTCCCTATCATGCTCCGCATCGGTCTGTTCCATCATCGAACATACACGCGCATACACACACATACACACGTCAGCGAACGTTCATTACAAGAAATGCTGACTGACACCAACGAACCAATGGGAGCGCTCTGTCGAGTATGTGCGGCCGCAATCGTTTGTGCGTGTCACCTAACCCGTGCGTTGATGCGTCCGTGACCTTAAACCAAAGGTCACCCCAATAAAAGCATGAATCACCACGAGGATGCATCATTAACGTCACGTGTCTCGGTGGATTGCGCACGCGCGCTTGTGGACTGTATAATTTGTTTAGTTTTTTTTCGACTGGACCAAAACTCAAGTAAGTCAGACCTGGTTAACTTGGTGTTATTTTGATATCAAACAAAATTCGTTAGTGTATCGTTTTGGGATTCCTTAGTTCACGGTTTTCTGACAAAATCGGACATCACCGTATTGTTACTATTGTTATAATGATAAAGGATAGTCGTTTTTATACGTTATAAGGTTGAAACTAGTACTGCATCCCTCCGACTCATGACTTACATATTTAGGGATTGTTTTATTTAATGTTCAACCGGAGTTGTAATTTTTGTATTACACACCTAATGTGATGAACAGACAGCAGACAGGGCGAACCCCGTAATCACGAGGACCTGTTGTTCAGTGGTGGAAACCGGCAACCTAAGCCCCGGGGCTTGGAGTGGCGAACCATACAAGACCCCGATAGGACTGTGTATGGAGTTGTTAACGCAGCTACCTTATTCTCACACATTCCTTACGGTCGTTTCTATATTCGTTAAATGACTGCATCCTTGTAAAATGGATAGATTGTTGTGCTTTAGTTTCAGTGGCAAAGATTTCAATTACATTTATCAAGTACCAGGGTCCGAGATTCGAACCCCACCTCCATCAAACAAGTATTTATGGTATTCTTGTTTGCGAACCTCGGGGTGGGACTTTCACTACACTGAGGCTTAGGTGACCGGCTAATCTAATTGAACCGTTTGTCTATCGCCTTCTACTATTCCGAACACTATAAAAGAATAAAACGTTTGTGTAGCACAAATGACCAGATGCAACGTTGCGTTGCAGCTGAGGGAAACAATACAGCTGAATTGAAATTAATCTCAGTTGGAAACAGTTTTTAGTTTCGTAAGCGATCTCAGTTCGACTGATTTTTGGAGTGAAAAGGGAATTATGGATGCCAATATGAGTTCTATCAGAGCCTAATGACTGAAGTTCTGAACATGAGAACGATACGATTTGTGAATATTCCCGGATAACCAACCCTCCTTGTTTGAACCTTTACAAGTTAGTTGATTTCTTAGTTGGCATCCGGTTTCATGTATGCAATCCTTGAAAAATTGACTTTTGACAAATAAAGTGATAGAACACGTCCGAGAAATATGGGAAATAAATAACACTGCTGACACAAGATCAGCATTATTGAACTACTTTTGGGTACAGGATTAAACTCGAATTGGTTGGATTACGTCATTAACCTTTTTGATCAAGCATAATGGTGGACTTAAGTGGCCGGATTAACAATCGTTGAATCTTGCATGTGTGTGCGTATTTATGTAGATGTGCTGTAAAAGTACATGATGAGTTGACAGTTAAGGAATTCCAGAGGAACATGATTGGGAATTTCAACATATGCACAAATCTCTCTCCTTGATTTCCAGAAGGTTTGGTCAGTTAATCCCCAGTGCGTCCACATGTGGTCGGATTTATTTGGGAATCCCATGTCAGATTGTTTACAACTTGCTGTAATACGCCTTCATCCAGCCCCCTCCCCACTCCCATAGCCATAACTTCCTCCGACCAGGTTTGCCTCAACGGGGACCTTTTCGGCTCGAAAACATTCCTATTCGAGACTGTTGTTGTTGTTGTTGTTGCTGTCGCCGTCACCTGCGTCCGGGAACCGATAATGCGGTAACTTGCACTATAGTCATTCACCGTAAACAGAAGTGCGCCATCATATTGCAGCTCGCGTGCGTGCACACACATACACACATGCACGCGGTTGCATACATTCGCCTATGTACGTAGGTGAATGTTGAACGAGTGCATCGTATTCCTTGAATTGGATGGTGAAATAGGAGACCATTTTGACAAACTTTTCCTCGCAGGACGCGTACAGCTCACAAGTTCGCCAAGTGAATTGAACAAACGTCTTTTAGATCTATGTTTTGGGAAAACATGGGTGATAGGGGGCTGCGCGAGAATTGGATTATCGGAACGAGGTTTCATTTTGGCAGCATTAGGACTACTTCAATGGGAGTGGAGGAGAGTGATTGTTTTCTGTTATTGTACCTGGTCTTCTAAGCTCATAAATCAATTTATATAGGTTGTCCTAATTTAATAAAGCGATAACTGGGAGGGAGGATGCTCGGTATTCTATAAACGACTTGGAGCATAATGATTTGGGCTAATGAGAACCGGGTCGAATTAACAACTGTACCTGAGTTCAAACACCAGCGTGTTCGACTGATGTGCATGGCTCATGAATCTTAACGGGGAAGAAACGAATTTGAGGTAGTGTGTTATTTGAGCAATGTGGTAAGATTTCTCAAATCGTTTCACATTTATTTAAATGTTTGATGAATGTTTTGAATCCTTTTTTTTATCGAAATGTACAACAAAATTTCAGATAAGGGGTTCGCGGTCATTCAAGGGGTACCTGGAGAAATACAGGTTATAGGAAGATGGGTGGCGGTGACGGGGTTCAAACTCGGGACACCCAGGTAGTGGTTAGTTCAATGATCTTACTCCTCGACTGATGAATGTGCCAAGCGAGCACTACTGCTTTTGACCAAATGTACTTGGTCTCTGTCCACAGTAGACCATTCCTTAGGGTCGTAGCCGAAATTCTTTGTCGTTGCCAGTATCTTACTCATGGTATCCATGATTAGTCCACTCCTTTCAAGACCATGGCAGCTGAATGTTGCGCCTCATTCACTACTGGTGTTTTTCTTTTCAACTACCCTCCCCTTCTTCCTTTCTCTCTCTGTCACCAAACAGAATGACCATGATCTATCCGAGGTATCGACCCCCAGTTAGGTGTATCGATCGTACTGTGGAAGAATTGATTGCCGAGCAGCTAATGCGTATTGGAGATGAATTGGAACAACTATTCGCAGAACACTCCGCGTTTCATCGGGGTGACCAGATGCCAGACATGAGTCCGAATCGGTCGTTACGTAAATTGCGACAATTTGTGGTGAGTGTAATTTACCTGAAATATACTCTTGTTTTTTTACATTAAATCTGATAGTTCAATTCAGCAATAACGTTTTGTAGGAATAATGTCTTTTACAGCAAAAAGCTGATCACTTTTCGAATGTGGTTTTTACTTACATAAATCAATGAAATACGGGTTTTGCTGACGTCATGATTCGTAAATTGCTAGTGACTTGAAATTTATTCCTTCCTTCACAAATGCTTATGATGAACAGTTGAACGTCAGCAATGATAATGCCACACAGTAATTGGTATGAATCCGCCTTTGCCTGGTGTGTGTGTGTGGAGAGAGAGAGGAATGTTAAAACTTCGTGACCTCATTCGGTCTGTTGATACACGTGTGTTGTTTGTTTGTTTTTACCTGTTTTCTTCCATATGAATCAAACGGCCTTTTTTCCCCTACCCCTAGATAAAGCGCTCGTTTTTCTCTTTCATCTGGTTCGTTTAAGCCACATTCACGTGTTGATACGCACGCACACATCATACGCGGACTGGTACTGCCCCCAATCGAGTATTGCTGTTAGTATGCCATGCGGTGATAAGGTGCGTGGAACGGAGGGTTTGGGGGGGGGGGCGCTGGTACTACATATTCAGTCCGCTTGAGTGGCGACAATCTTATTTAGTCTTCCATCTCGGCACAGGTAGCACACGAACAATTTTGCGTAGCGCGGCTGTCACAGTTACCCTTTTTAATTTACAATCATGCTTGTCTGATGGTGATGATTCTGACCACTTATCCGGGTCTTAACGCGTTCTCACACACCCATCCATGGAAAGAATCACATCACAGTCC